TGAAGCATATGCGAGCAAGCGCTCGCATATGCTTCACTCTCTTTGAGTGCACATGATGTTTTCTTTCTACGCTTTGGTCAGAGATCCAGGCTTGAGTTATAGTGCTGTGATCACTAGTAATTCGGGTTGGTAATAAGAATGCGCCAGGGCGACAACGGTTTGAAATTGTGCGCGCGAGAAATTTTCCAGGAGGAGATTTTTTCGGTGTTTACGTCCGATCACTAGAGTGCGCCAATCCAAAAGATCGCCAATGATACCCTCTACATATCTTCGTTGACTTCTTGAGAAGTATAACTCCTTTCTTTGACAACTTTTCAAAAAAGAGAAGACGGATCCTGAAGGTAGAACTTCTGGTTTCTAATTAATGTTTGAATTATTTTGTTCTGCTTCGACACACGTCTTCGTGAGGCTCTGTAGAGGGATCTATTTACATGCGTCTTCACTCTTCGACAAAATCATAATTTCCTGCTTCGCTTGTCATTGAGAAGGCGTCTTCGAAAAGTGGAAGATTGCCGCTTCCTAATCTGCATTACTTAAAAGCTTCCTGCTTGTGAGATGTCTTCGTCGAGGCTCTGTTGAGGACTTTGTAATTTACGCGCGAGTTGTTACTCTTTGGAAAACCATAATTTCTTCTTTGTTAAGCTTTTGTCATGGAGAAAGCGTCTTTGAAATGTGAAAGATCGTCGCTTCTAATGTGCATTATCCTTTAAAGCTTCCTGCTTTGCGAGATATCTGGGTTGAGGTGATGTAGAGAAAGATGCCGGGCCATTATTTACTCCTCCTACGCCGACGCCAAAGATTCATTCAAATACCTTGAAATCCTATTGGGTTTGAACATAATATCGTAGCATTTCCATTAGTGTTGTTCAAAGTAAAACATAAAAACTTAAAACTGGTCACTGATACATCCTTAGTCATTGTTTACGACTTTGATTGCATTTCTTTGGGTATTACCGGATTTCGAATAAACTTTATTGGTCTCGTTCCAAGTCCTCATTATTTTCAGTTTGTACGGAGTAATTATGGGACTTGGATCGGTCCGATGGATTCTGAAAAACCACCGTTTTGGAACCTTTTTTCTTCATGTCCATCCAAGTATAGCAGCTTCAGGAATGCCAACTCCGCAGCATGCACTTCCTGAACTTTGACACCATACTAGGGAGAGCTATCATTATAAGGAACCAATTAGGTTGTTCTAAAGCGGAAAAGTACTTTGGGAATGAAATACGTGGTTTTCCAGGTTCTACTTGTGTTCATTGAGTTTTACGACCAAAAACGCCACGGTATCGTCCAAGCAGGGTCAACCCTACGTTGTTACTAGTAACAACGGGGGGGTCGTACTTGGTTGAGTTTGTAGGAGGGGGTCGTACCCGTTTCAGTCGCTTGAAATCACATGAGTTTGAGGTGAAACTGAAGTTTTTATGGGTAGGTGGGTTGGGTGAAAAAAGTGGGCGGAGTTTGGTGGGTTGAGTGGTATCAGAATTAAGTACTATAGAGACGATGATGGTGGTCGAGGTGTGGAAAAGGGGGTCGTACAAATCCACCTTGGGGGAGGGGGGTCGTAAAAAATTTTCAAAAAGTAACAACGATAGGGTTGACCCTGCCGAACCCAATAACTCTCCACTTGAAGTGAATAAAGAATGTACACTCGGTTCCATCGATTCCGTTTTTGGTATACGCCGTGTATACGAGCTCAAGCAGAGTCATTTGAATGGTGTCATGTCTACACGACGACTTGATGTTGCGAGGCAAAATGTGTCACTACTCAATAGTTGGAATGGTTTTACAATTATGGTACAATCTCACCATTTTTTCACCTACGCCATTTTCTTTCCGACTGCGTTCTGGGAATGCCACAGTTCAGGCTATGGTGTGTGGTGGTTCAAAAACGTTCGGGATCTTCACTTGTTGAGCTTTCAGACTAGAATGCTCCTCCTCCGACAAAGCTCTAAAAGTGGTTCACATTAATCTAGGGCTGGATCGCAGCCAGAAAATTCTCTGTAGCATAGCTCCCTGGCTTACGTCGCTCGTTTGAGTGTCTCGTCGGATGTTTTCTTCCCAGCTTCGTAGGTGCTCTTCGTAGTTTCCTGATTTCACACTCAGAAGGATGCATTTGAATCAGAGCGGCTAAGATAAATGACTTTTAGGGTTGAGCAGTGACACTTCATTGTTGTGCTCAGAGTTCAAAATTTCTCCCTCTCTTTCAAGTGTACAGGTAAGGCAAATAGGCACTATCGTGTTGGTTGAACACGCAGGTATAAATTTCCTGCACAACATTTACACTTTGAAGCCGAGCCAACACACAGCGATTCTTGTTCGTTCACACAGTTTACCTTCGAGTTTGAACCCACTTCCTGTCAAAGAGCAACTTTGGAAGAAGGTCCTTGTTTCATGTTATTACCTCTACAGCTCTTTTCCCCTTTTCTTTCCCATCTCATCAGCACCCACAGGTTCATGTCCAGTGCTGACAGCGGACGTGTATTATTCATTTTTCATGGAAGCTGCCTTCGGACATCACTAATCCGTCCTTCAGATGCCTGGTAATTGATTCCCCCAACAATCACGGCTTCACGCAGTAAGAAGGCATCTGCCTAACAATAAAATGAGTCACTTGAGGTATCTGTGGTAAACTCTGGTTGGACACGATGCTTAGACCACTTGACGATTTAGCGTTTTCTGTGGCCTATGATTAGTACGCAGCCCCTTGTCCAGATGGCCGACCATTGGTCGTGCTTTGAAATTTGAACCATGAATTAGCTCTATTCCCGGTAATGGTCAATCATCGGATTGCATCGAGGATACTACTACTCTACTTTTTCTCACACATGGGTCACCGCTCCCTTGAGAAAAAGTCTCATTTCGTATGCTGACCTGCCTTTCACAATCACTCACAAAATGGTGTCTGAGCTATCGCTCAATCATTAGTTTTCCGCATGCAATCTTCAAAATGCGAAGGTTCTCTTAGAATAAGTTGGCCCTGTGTACCTGAAAGCGTTGTATCATATCTCGCGTAAAATGCTCTGGAAGTTTCAGATTTGAATGCTTTGATTTGAATGATTTTGCTGCAGGAATAGGGACAAGCGCCAGATGTTAGGTTGGGAAGAGAGTATTCAAACAAAACATGGCCCAATTTTCAAACCTATTTTTTCTGTTCTTTTTTTTCGGGACCTTTAATAATGATCAAGAGTCAAACAATACGGCAAGCATCGCGCAAATTGCAGATACCAGCTTTGTAAAAATGAGATTTTTCGTCGAAAAACATTTGCATGTCTGATTTGCAGTCCCTTTCGTCGTCCACCCTTTTGTTCTCTAGGTCATGGGCAAGTAAACAGAAAAGTTAGAAATTGGGTGTGGTCATGTCTAGCGAATAAAATAGATGCGAACGCAGGGCCAACTTCGAAAACCCCTTTGCGGTTGACCGAAGACGTGTGCAGACGCGCGCTGTCGTGGAGTAATGTGACCTGGCGCCGTTGTTTCCCTAGATTTTCTCTTTAGCAACTGTGTAGCAACTGTGCCGCAAAGGGCACCAATTTAGGAAAAATATCCATATACGTGAAAACATGGAGATTTTTCTATGTTCCACAGTAAAGTGCTAGTACGATTCGCCATCTCTAGAAATGACCAGATATCGGATCAGGGTCAACCCTATGTTGCTACAAGTAGCAACGGTGTGCCTCAATCTTATCCTTATTATTGCTACACATGTTCAGAACAAGTCGATGTAGCGTTCATCAGAAGAGCAGCAAAGTCTACAAACGTAGATGCCATTGTAAAATGTATTAAGAGAGCTTAAAAAATTGAGTAATCTAAACACATAAGGCCTCACACTCAGGCCCCATGGAATCGCAACCGGCCTAGGCCAACCAACCTCACGCTTTACGTTTGGAAAAACATCCAATATTGTTGAGTGAATAAAAACACAGAGTGGATATTGGCTTATTATTTTTCAAAGTATGTTTTGAATACATTTCTAAATTCCCACGACTATGAACGGGAGTCAAATATGTGGCGTACCACAAAAGTGAAGAAGTGGGGGCCCAATCGCTTTATCAACCGAGAATGG